TCGACAAATTCATCGTGTAGTTCCATTTCAGTTGATGAATCTTCCTTCGCCATTTCTAACTACTGTGTATAAAAGAAACAATGTACATCAATTACTACCAAATATGAAGCTTATCGAAACTACGTACAAAAATAATCAAATGAAACTCAATAACATTGTTCCTATAAAATTCCTACCTGAACTATGTGAAAAAACAATAATGTAAGCTTATATAAGAAGAAATGCAAAATTTGATACCCAATAGTGGGAACCAACCGTACAAAATTTGATAACTACCCAATAGTGGAAACCAACCATACTCTTTTTTATTTAATAATTATTATAATCTTTTCAACTTCTTTAAACTGCTATATATGTAAAAAAAACTTTCATATTTGTAATATTGAAAAAGTACTATTATTTATGTAGTTAAGTCTTAAGGATGGTCTTTCCATGTAATTTTCCCTTTTTTTTTATATATCTTTCCATCATAATAGTGAAAGGTATCTTTGTAAATAGTTTTTTAATACAATGCATCCTATTTTTAATGCATTAAACCAAATAATGCATACAAATAATTTATGTATAATTAATGCAAGCATAACTAATACATGCATTGTTAATGCAAGCATTACTAATACACTCTATTTAACATTATTTTTATATAATCTATCAAACGGCCCCTTAAAAAAATTAAAGATGATAATTGCCCGCTAAAACTAAATTAAGTATCATAATTATGTATTAGGTAACTAAGTGCACAAAGAGATGGTCTTTTTCGTACTTGAGTGTCTGCACGTATATTAGGTATGCATAGACATTGAATTTCTTTGCTTAGTTTAGGAGATTAGTTGCTATTGTTTAATTTGAAACAATATTGTCTTGATTTTTTTAATTTCATTTTCTAGCCAAATTTTTTTATTCGTCTATTTTAGTAAAATCAAGAAAACTTTATTATTTTCGTTTTAACACTATATAACATAATATTAGTTAAATTCAATTTTTAAGCATTATTAATAAAATCAATTTAATATAATAAATAACTAATAAATATTTTTTTAAAGAAATATGCCAAGTTAATATGAAGTAAAATGAATTATTTCATCACTCTCAATTATATAAATTTAATATATTGACAAATGAAGAATTGCAACTTATAAGAAATTAAAGTAGATTCTTCTTTTCATTAATTTCCGAATTTTTGATTAATGAAAACTGCCACAAAATTAGGACGAAAAGAGTAGATGAATTTTTGACCACCAAAAGAAGAGAGAAAATAGTTTCACTTTCATATTTCTTTTCTATTACACAACTTTAAAAAGAAAATAATATTATTATAATAAATAAAGAAAAACAAGAAGTAAAAGGTAGTTAAATGATTATTATTAAAATAAAAATAGTAAAACCAATATCATCCCCTTATTCTTCGAACGCAGACACCGGAAAAGCCTTAGAAATTCCAGAAGGGGTAGCAAACGTAATTTTCTGTAAATCAGAGTCGTGAATAGAAATATCAGAAATTGTTATCCAGATCAACAGTTCCTTACTTTTAACGCCGGTGAGTTTCTTCATCCGGCGATCTTCAAGGAATCCGGTGACCTCAGTATTGTACCAGACAAGTTTTCCGATTTTCTTAAACCGATTTTCTTTTGCCTTCTTCTGTTTCAGCCATACGAACCCGGTTTGTTTATTGTGCCCTATTTCTATTAGATCATCCAATGGGAGAAGCCCTTTTGGCATATTGATTTGCTCTAGAAGTTGTAGAGATTTCTGTTTGCAGATCGTTGGGTCGGTGAATATCTCTGCATTTTCACGGTGATTTTCTGATAATTGAGATGACATTTTCGTTGAAGGAGATGGAAAACAAAAGGGAGAAGAGGTAATTGGATTCCTTTTTCTGTGTGTCAAAAGTGGAAATGAGTATGACAAAGGGTACTTGTTTTTGTGAAGAGGAGCATAAGAATTGATGCGCTTTTATAGGGACTAAGCGAGTATTTTTACGAAAATGCCCTTGTAATATGAAGTGAAATTTTGATTTTTTTCAAGAACTAGTGTATTTATTTTAATGTTAGCTAAATAATAATAATACAATGTTTTTAGAGGTTGGGGGTATTGAGTGGGTAAGAAGAAGATTTAATGTGGGCTTCGACATGGGTGGAAAATAGTGGCGGAGCTCGGATTTTTAATAAGGGAGTTCAAAATCTTAAAAGATAGACACACGAAGTACTCGAAGGGTTTCGACATCTACTATATATACCTAAAAAATTATTTTAAACATGTATAAATAATATTATTTTAAGCATAAGGTGGCTCCGCCACGGGTAGAAAACCTAAAAAAAAAAACTTGAAACGCTACTGTGAAACTAATTTTTCTTTACTGTTATTTTTCTTACCTATTGCGTAACTTATTTTTCGAAAAAGAAATATTTTTCCGTTTACTTTTATCTGTTTATTGTATTAAAAATATGTATTCTTACTTTTACATGTCACTTTTGGTATAAAAAAAAGAAAGTTTATTTTCTTTCATGTTTTACCTTCAATATTTTTTCTAATTATTTTTTAATGACTAAGATGAAATATCAATTAATATAGATATTATAATAAAATATTTATATTAATTATTATTCTTAACGGGGATGCAAAATTGAAAGTGGACAAGCAAAAATATAGGAAAGAAGTATATTTCTAAAATCTTTTGATTGACCTTGGAATAAAAAATATATTTTTCCATCTAGAAAACACGCCCTTTATGTGCACTACTAGTTTGAAGTTTAAGTACTCTTTTTCTTTTCGTAAAACTCAAAAACTCTTTATTTTTTTCTTTAAAATTTAGAGAACTCTTTAATTATTTGAAAAATGCATTCTCTCCATTTTTAAATAATTGAATTATTGGGACATTTCACATTCTTTAAAAAATAAAGATTTAAGACATAAATTAAACATTACTTCAATACTAAATAATTTAAAAATGTCTTGAACTCATCACGTAAAAAAAATTCAAAGCAATTAAGGTTTCTTGAACTGATCACATAGAAAATGCAAATGAAAGGCAAAAATGGAAGAATATAAAGTAGTCTTGAAGATTGAATAATTAAATTAATTTGAAATATGAACAATGTCTTATCAATTCAATTATTTTGAAATGAAGGAAGTAACTCCATTAGATAAGAGTTTTCATCACTGTAATAATTTATTTGTTTCATTTTATGATATCGTTAAAATTTAAATAGTCAAATAATTCTGTTTTTAGTATGGTTTTCTCAAACGCGAGGTCATAAAATCAACAGACTTAGATTTAAGTCTAAAATAGGGCTGGACATAAACATCGGAAAATCGAAACATCGAATCAAACCAAATTATTTCGGTATTTCGGTTTTTGATTCGGTATTCGATTTATATTTTTGTATTTTTTGGTAGTTCGATTCGATTTTCGGTATGTAATTTTGTATTATTCGGTATTTCAGTTTACCGAAATATATTATATTATATTTATAATATTATTAATATTATATTAATTAGTAATATTAAATAATAAAAATATAGACAAAATTAGGTCAAACTTTTCAGATTTTTCAGATTTTTGTTTTCAATCTTTTCTTTGCAGTTAGCCGCACAGGCGCACAGCCGCACATCAATCACCTTTCCAGTTCCACTTCCCACTTTCGGCGACCGGCCGATCAGCAACAAGCCAACGACGACCGGCCGATCAGCTCGCAGCAGGACAACACGCAGGCGACACCCAGCAGGCAGGCAGCACGCAGCACTGCAGCAGCCGACCAGACCGGCGGGCGGCGACCACCAGCGACCGATCAGTGACAACCAGAAAACCGAACTAACAAAAACCGAATCAAAATAACATAAATCGAATCGAAATAATTCGATTCGGTGTTCGGTACACGTGGTACAAGAATCGAAAACCGAAAAAAAAAAAAAAAACTAAAATCGAACCGAATTATCGAATGCTCAGCCCTAATCTAAAACATGCAGAAAAAAAAATCAAATTTGCCAAATTGAAGAACAACTTTAATATTTTCTGACATTGAAATCTAGGCTCTTTGATATACTGATAAAACAATTTTTCGTTTCTTACTATTTAAAAATAAAAATATATTTAGTCACTTTTACTTATTCAAATGTTAATTTTGACTCATATCAAAGCGTTTATAATTTCTTTTGGTTTCTGCTAAGTTTTCTCATATACGTTACACTAATTTTTGTCAAACTAAATCCCCACACACATGATATTAGCTTTTTGTGTCTTATTTATTATGATGACTTGAGAAATGCTACAAGAGGAGCAAACTATAGGTTATCTGAGGATTATTGTTTAAAAAAGGATTATTTCGAACCCGTTTGGCCATAGATATTACGATCATTTTTTTGGGCCAAATATACTTTCAAATTCTTTTAGAATTTTAAAACATATCTTGAACTTTTATATTTTACACATACAAAAAATCTCATGTCAGTTATGATTGCAACTATAGTTCTATTATATATGATCCAATGAAATCTGTAGCTATTTTTTATGTCTTTGCACATAATATTAGTCAGCAATTGACAAGTGAATGTTTTCAATGTTTACTCGAAACAATTAATCGACATGTTAGAAAAGTGGTCTACACACTTTGTCAAATGACATCAACGCATGTTTATATAAAAAATATGATTGGTGTTGTTTATCTAAGTAAACTAAGTCGTGCTTCGCGCGATCATGTAAAACATCAACAAATATGTGAAATTAAATAAATAAATTAACAAAATGAACTCATTCCTAAGTTTATTCAAGATATAAGAGAGACTTTATATCTCAGCATTTAAATTGATAATAAATTAATTGGATTTTGTGTTTTTTTTATACCTTGATTATCGTTGTAGCTAGTAATTATGACTATTGTTTAGGATAATTCGTCAGGTTGTTGTAATATTTTGTCATGACCGTATTCATTTATATTATTTCTCTCTATTCTACTTTGAATTTTTATTTTCTTGAGCGGGTCTATTGGAAATAGCATGTCTACCTATAAGATATTGATAAGGTCTGAATATATTCTATCCTCCATAGACCCGCTTTGTGAAATTATACTGAATTTGTTGATATTATTATTGTCCCAATTTTTTGTTATATAATATATTCATGTTTTAATTTATATAGGAAAAAGCTCCATTATAAAATTGAGAATTATATATATTAATCAATACTTCAACCACATTACAGAAACAACTCATATCTCTTGCTCAATCTAGTGTACTTGAGAAATAAATAGAAAAAACTCAAGGACATAAAAAAGAACTCCTATAATTTAGCTTTTAAATAGTTGCCCAATACTTTTCTATTGAATTATTCGATCTCATATTTTCTTGAACAAAACTTGGAAGATTTGTTATAAAGATAAATTGTATGTTGTCAAAGGGCGAAGCCAAAGCCAGAGCAATGAGTCCTTAGTTAAAACCTATACACATACAAAAACATAGTAACAATACAAGAATATGGCAGACAAACTTTCAATCATATTAAACGAAAAATAATGAGAACCACGAACAAAGAAAACCACACCAACAATAAAAATTATTACTTTAATCCAAAATGTACATTAGGCCATGTACTTTAACATGGAGCTAACCAATTTAATCCACCAAAAATGCAACATGAAGAAGAGGAATCAGCACCAGGATATCAAAGTGAACGCTACATGTTGAGAAGGATAACAAATTTTATTCAAGAAAAATATGTTAAAGGACTGAAAAGAATTCATAATTGAAAAATCTAAAAAACCCAAATGCTATCAAAAGTAAAACAAAACTTTTGCTAAACAGTATAGTACAGATGAGTATCGTCTTGTTTGATTTATATATACAAATAAAGATTGAACATTTATATTCTAAATGAATACCACATTAAATATTCATTAAAATTATAGAAAATGGGATTGAGAAAAAGTGTAAGAGTAATGAAGGTAATTAAGAAAAAGTGACTATTGGAATGAATTGAAGTGATAACGTAATAGAAGCAATTTTTATTATAATTACTCATTCATTACATAAAATAAATATTAGTGTGGTCACGAAGAGAAGAAAATCAAATATTTAGAGTTGTTGAAAAAAAGAAAAAAAAAGGTTCTAGGAGGATCAAATATTAAATAGGTGTAAGTCATAGATAATTACTTCTTATAAACAAATTAAATAATATTAGAAAAATACTTAAAGTATCAAAAATATTTATGCTTTATAATTAGAAGAAGATAAAAAAAAAGGAATAATTTTGTAAGAGTACGTAGAAATTAGAGAGGTGTGAGTTACTCCTTGTAGACATAAGAGTCTTTGTTGTAAATGTTTCTTCATTTAATAAAATATTTATTTATCATAAATTTAATAATTTATTTTTACAATAAAATAATTAATTTAAATTAAAAAAGGTCAAAAAATGGAGGAAAAAGATAAATGCAAATAGAGATCATAGAGAGGTGTCTCATCACCTTCTCTATGTTTCTCCTTTATTATATATAGATTTGACATAATAGCCATTTATGGCCTTGGTTTAAGGTAAATGACTTTGTAAATACTCGTGTCAGCTAACTTTTTTTATAAAAATATATTAATAATTAGGAGTTCTATTCACTATTAGAAAATAAAAAAGTAGAGATCAACAATATTTCATAGCTAAATAGTTTAAACTTATTTTTAACTTGGTCCCATTTAGCTAGGTGTTAGGCACACTTGGACCTTGGTCTAGGCTTTTCTAGATGTGTCCAAAAATCAAGGGTTCCTACATGCAAAATTTTAGATCTATTGTTCCAAAATCAAAATAAGTAATTATTATTAGCGTAGAAATTATAATTTAT